TTGGATTAAAAACTGCATAACGGTGAATTTTATGGAAAACTCGGTAAAAACGTGTTTTAATTATCTTTAAGATTTTGATCACTTTAAAATGTTCGGTATGGATTGTTAAATGAGTTTTGGTCTGGAAATGGTAAATTAGACAGTTGGTGGAGTTTTTATCGTTAAAATGGTAAAAACGAGCTTAATACGAGATTTGCGGTAAAGACTGAGTTTAATATTATTTTCATGGTTTTGAGCTATTGAAAAATATAAAAACTGGACAGACCTGTTTTAGGATGATAAATGAAGGTTCTTGTGTTTTTGGGAGATTTTCAGATTTACCGTTTTGTGGGAATTTAAGTTACCGTAAAATAATGGTTAATACGAGATTTTTGATATTTTATTGTCTAAATTGATTTTTATGACCAGAACTAGATTAAATGGATTTTTTTGTCGATAAATTCATTTACATGAATTGTGTGAGGATTTTAATGAAGGAAAGTGAATTTTGAGATAAGGATATTTTTAACCGCAACCGGGTTATTTATAATTATTTGCGTTGGCGCTATTTCGTGAAATTGTTGATGAATTTTGGATGAGGAATGGTGACATGGTAATGCTGAGTAGCTGGAGAATGAAATGATTTATGTGAAACGTCGAGTTGATAATCGACGGGGAATATATATATGGACTGGTTAATCCGTGAGACTACATTGATTCCGGATTGATTGTGATGGATGGGGAAAATGCAAATGGTTTGATTCATGATCATATTAATTCACATAGATATAGAAAGGGCCTGCACTTACCCTCACCCCTTGAGAGTGGGTAGATTTAGCTCGCTTATGCGATTGAGTGTTGTGGTTGCATGAGCACCACGGATGAGTGTTGTGGTTGCATGAGCACCACGGATTGAGTGTTGTGGTTGGATGAGCACCACGGATGATGATTTGCTCGTGCGAGGGTAAGTGTATGGTGACCTTGGCGCCATTAATAATTAACCGGAATTTTCATATCATGCATTGATTATGTGTTCATGAAATTATGTGATTAGTTTATTGGATAAATTGATTTGGTGATGATGAGTTGGTGGATTCGATAAATTGATCGGTAATTTGTATATGATGATTTAAGATGGCATCTAGAGTACTAAATTATGCTTGATTACGATTGTTTGATTAGCTGATTGTGGTCCCAAAATTAGGTCGTGGGAAAGATCCATACACACAGCTTAGTTGCTGACCCACGTATGTTTTCAGGCTCGCAGGTGCAACTAGGATCGGACTACTGAGGCTGCCCTATCCTTCTGTACTACCATCATGAGGTAGTTTGGAACACTGTTCTGTCAAGGTCACCTAGGATTTCTGCTTTGAGTGTTTTCAATAATAACCCACATTTTGTAAAATTCAATAAGTGGGTTGGGGATCGAATAATGAGTTTGTATGATAACGATTTATGTTTGTGTTTAATAATCGGAGATGATGTTTGAGATGATTGAGTTCAACCAGTACCACCAAGGATTTGGCTGCGCGGTTGAACCATGGGTTCAACCATAGAGTTTCTGGGTGGGGTGTTACAGAAGAGCATAAATCGAACAAGACTAGGTCGACCTCAATCGGACTAGGTCGACCTATCCTTCCAAGCAGAAGCAAATAGCAAGCTAACAAATACAAATCATGCAACAAAAGACATAAAAGAGCATAAATCGAACAAGACTAGGTCGACCTCAATCGGGCTAGGTCAACCTTTGTTTGCAAGCACCAGCAAAAACCACACAGTTCTTAGTCCGATTTGGTAGTACACAAACCAAAACATTTTAGGCCGACCTGACCATCAATAGGTCGACCTATTTGTCCATATCAGAATCAAATACGAACACATATATACAAATCCTGCAAAAATAGCATAAAATACCATAATCGAATAAAATAGGCCGACTGATAGACCAATATTTACACATGTTTTTACCCCTATTCTTGAGCTGTTTGAGATGTTGATTCTCGTATTTTAAGCCGATTTCACGCTAGGTTGTGCGTTTATGTCATATTTCAGGACTTAGCGTTGGCATCGAGGCGAAGAAACGAGTTTCGGGTCGAAAGGAGCATGTTTGGGTCGAAGTGTGCTGGAGGAGGAAAATACCCGGCCGGGTATTATTTGGAGCAGACCGGGGAAAAGTGTTTTGGCGTCTGAGAAGCAGAGGGGGGCCTGGTCATGACACTAAAATCCCCGGTCGGGGATTCTTGGCCTTGACCGGGGATTTTCCCTATCTCCTACGCTGCGTTTTGAAAATGCTCGGTCACCACCCAAAATACCCGACCGGGTATTTAGGCCAGGGATCGCGACAGACAGCTTCTTAAGGGAAAAGAAGGGCAAAAGAGAGGGGTTCCGATTTTTAGAGAGAAAAAGTGCGACCTAGAGAGAGAAAGTGACGAACCTGACTCTGCAAGTGCCATAGATCGATCTCCATCACCATTGGAGCCTGGCTTGAGCTTGGAGAAGACCTGATTGAGCGCTAGAAGCAGATTCTCATCCTTCACAGTATGGTTTCCGCATCTGAGCTAGATTTCTCATCTCTCTCTATGGAGTAACTTTCTTATTCACCTGGGTATGAAGAACCCTAGATTTGTATGTTAGGTCTGATTGTATGAACCCAAGTACAGATTCAGTGATATGATTATGTTCAATTGAGGTTTGAATTGTTGAATGGCATGAATCCTGATCAAGTTCCTGTTATTTCTGCTTTGACCTAGAAAGAAAATATCTGCCTAGGTTGATAGAGCACCCTTAATTGAAGGTAGTGAGTTTGCGACTTTAGTCGAGTAGCCAATTCACTATTCTGTACCGAATTTGCTTCGGTAGTGGAGGTTTGGTTCGTTAGGGCCTCAATCTGTTTAATCCGGTGGAGGTTAGTTGCCCGGTGGGGACTCAGATTGAGAGGGTTTGGAGACCTTTAGTCAAGACTTCAGACTGTTTAAGAACCTCCCGCAGTATAACTATCATTGAAATTGAACTTGGTAAATTACAATCCGGCTTAACTGTAGTCTAGGGGAAACCATATCCGGGTGACCTCTCTCGACTTGAAAACAACCGTTTAATTGCTTGCTTGTTTGCTTGTTTGGACCTGCATTAAAGTTTCACTGCTAAATAATAAGAACTCACGGAGTAGTCATCACATCTAGTACCAGGGTTGACATTAAAACTCAAACCCGCTATACTACGCTTTAGGAAGTGGTTACACTTGGCCATTTTCTAGAGTGACAGTAGGAGCGAGTCAAGTTTTTGGCGTCGTTGCCAGGGATGGCTAGGTTGTTGAAGAAACGTGAATTCTATTAATTTAGCTTTTCGTTTTAGCTTTGTCTGCTTGTCACACTTGTGCCTTCACGGGTTTGCTTGCTTGAATGTGTGCAGGTAGTGCATGACCCGTAGACAGTCAAGAGGTTTACTGTCGTTGGATCCGGAGCTTGAACGCACCTGTCGCCAACTCATGAGACAATAGCGAGCTAGACTGGCTATGGAGGAGCGCATAGACGACCACTTGAGCAGCGATTCTGAGGTAGAGTACGAGATGAAAGGCGAACACAACCCACACCAGGGGAATCCTCTCCAGGTTCCCCCGGTGAATCAGATCTTGGGGAACAACCCCATACCCCAGGTGATGACTCGATATTTGCACATGTTTTCCCCTTTGTTTCTTGATCGTTTAAGCTTGCATTATCGCTTCTTTGGCCTATTTTACGCTAGGTTGTGTTCCTTTGTCACATTTCAGGCCCTAGCACATAAAGTGAAGCGTAGGCGCAAGTTTCAAGTCAATCGGAGATCAATTGGCGATTAGGGAGAAGAAACACGAGCATTACCTGAAGAAGAATGGATTTCTACCTCACTTTATGGACAAAGAATCATAGAATTTTGGTATGAAAAGAAAGAGGACGAGACTACGAGCGTCTGGGTTCAAACGGCGACTGATTCGGAGTCCGGACGAGGGAGAAACGAAGCTTTGAACAGGGGTGGAGGAAGAATTACGGGCAGGAGAATTACGACCGTAATTTCCCCTCCCATGCCCGTAATTTCACTGCCGAGAGGAGCTTTGGGTGCGCTGACTTAACCAAAACGCGTGTTTTGGGCAAAATACGGGCATGGAAGAATTACGACCGTAATTCAGCCCGTAATTCGCCCAGAATCGGGTTTTTGAGGCAGATTAGAGCCAAAGGAAAGGGAGAGCTGGGTTTTGGATCCCAAACACCCAAGGGACGAACCCTAGAGAGAGAGAGCGACTTGGGAACATTCTTGGAGCTATTTTGGAGGATTTCTTCGCCATTGGAGCTCGGGAATCAAGCTTGGAGATGGAGATTGAAGATCTAGATCAGATTTCTGCAGTCTCTCTCTTCTCTATGGAGTAACTTCCCTTCACTTAGGTTTTGAGGAACCTTAGTTCCATGAGTTAGGATCTTTCTTGTATGAAGTTTTGGATGTTATATTGTTTGATTATAATCGAATGATGCATGTTTATTGAGTCAATTGAAGTCTGATCAACTTTTCCCGATTCCTGCTGCAATCTGAGATAGATAGAATCTGATTAGGTTGCTAGAGTCTCATCATTCGGTAGTAGGAGATTGGCTATACGAGAGTTAGCCAGTTTACTGCTTTGTACTGGAATCCAATTCCAGTAGTGGAGTTCTGTGCTTATTGCTTCAGCTTTCTATCCCGGTGAAGACTAGTCGTCTGCCGGATAGTTAGACTGAGAGGGCTTGGTCAGCTTAAGAGATTCCAAGCTACTGTCGGATCTTCCGCAGTTTAATCAACAGTAAATCAACCAAAAGGAATTACAACTTGGACCTAATTGAGGAGCTAGGGGGAATCATACCTAAGTGAGTTCCCAAACTGTAACTAGTAGTTTTACTTAGTTGAGTTAGTAGAGTAGTTTAGTTAATCAACCCTTAATCTAGTTTGCTAGATAATGAACTGAAGCTTAGTAATAGTAACTCTAGAGACCCGTGGATTCGATATTTATTACTTGTGCCACTATACTGCAGTCCCTTTCATTGGTTACACTTGGCCATTGTTAGGTGTTGTGTTTTAGAGCATCACCAGGCAGATGGGGTTCATCATCCACTGCCGCCGGGTCCCACCTTGGAGTACTACTACACTCCACGGGTTGCTGATATCCGCCCTGTCATCCTCTACCCGCCCATTCCAGCGAACAACTTGGAGATCAAGCCATGCTGGATTCAACTCATTACATCATCTGTCCAGTTCCTATTGACGGCTTCGAGCGCGAGAAGCCTGCACTTGATGAAGAATTCAGTCTTCTTCTCGACCTGAAAAACCTAAATCGACTTTGGCCAAGTACAGGTGAAAGGCAACAAAGAGTGGCAGTGAATATATCAAAACAAAGAGATCAAGCAATATAATTTGGATCGAGCTATCTTTGTAACTGGGCTAGAATCCTCAAGCCCAATCAATTAATTCCTCTGATCCAAGAGTGATGAACAGCCGAGTCGCTCTACCCAAAACTGTGTGTTTAAGGACTGAACCTTCCCCTCCTTCCTCGTGTTCCTTTTAGACCGATCCCCTGTTACAAATAAACACTCAACCAAGCAAACACTTAGTAGAAACATAGTGAGCTTCCCCACACACTGTCAGAACGAAGGAAGAACAGGACACGGTCGGTTTTTACGTGGTTTCCAGAGCTGGGTCAATTGATTCCCAACTCTGACTACTCCACGGTCGGAAGATCACGATGATGTAATTTCCGAAGATTCACTAAGCTTGTAGATTGTCTCTGTTACACAGATTTACAGCTCCGAAATCACTCAACCCAATCCAGGACTGATGATTGAATCAATCCACTCCCTGATACACTACTAACAATCCTGCTACTGTGTTTCTCTCAACACACCCCTAACCCAAGTTCTCTCCAGAAGTTGGATCAGCCTTGCTTTTCTTATCACACACACAAGCTATGATCTAAGCTCTCCCTGTATGAATGATCTCCAGAAAAGTATCAATCTTCTTGTTCTCTTCAGCCTTTTATTCAGCAATCACAATACCGTTACTCTTTCTTTCCTTTTCTTCCTTGAATTGGTTTATGGCAAGAACTTGAAAACTTTCCTTCTTGTGATTTTTCAGACCGTTCCTTGTTTCTTGTTCTGCACGAAACATGAGCTCGGTTCAGCCTCATTTGACAAGCTGCTTCCAACATTCTCCCCCTCAGCTTGTCAATGATTCTTTCTTCTGTGACTGTGGTTCCTGCACACACTTTAACAAACGGTTACGTGCAGACTGTTCTACCAATTATTATGAGCACATAAACATATTATGAGAAAGACAGAAGATGAGTTCTTTTATTCCAAGATCACATCAAACAACACGACACAAGACTCACAAAACTATACTCTAAAACTTCCTAGACATACGAGTGCTCTTTCAAAGAGCTTTATTCATGAAAACATAACACTTCTGGTTTGACTCCACGACTCAATGCACAACTTAACACACTCAAGCTCCCCCTACACAGAACTCCTATGATAACCCAGCAACTTAGAAAGGAAAAGTTTGGGAGGACAGGTAGTCAGAGATTTCCCCTTCATCTCCTCCTAGCTCTTCCTCCAGTTCGGCAGTGCTGAGTCCATCTTCAAAATTTTCAGCCGCTACTGGTTCCTCATGAACAGCTTCATCAACAGGGTCAGCCACTAAGGGTGCTGCAGGAACTACAGTCCCTTCTCCCCCTGAAGCATTGACTCGAGGACGCTTACGACCAACAAAGGCATTCACCTTGTGAAGAACAAACTGAGCACGAAGGGTATCAATCAGATCGACCCGAGCCACTTTGTAGCGAAGATCAATACCTAAGTCGCGCGACAGCAGAGTAATTTGAGGAGCAAAGGGAAGTTCCTCATTGAAATTGTCATCACAGTAATGGAGCATGTGATTAAACATGAGATGAGGATAGCTAATGGGGCGATTTTCTTTGGCACTAGCCAGAATCCACATATCCATAGGGTAGATCCTATTGAGTCCATGAGAGCAGGGGAGGAAGACCCGAGTAATGAAGAAATGGAGCACTTTGAGATCATCAGGGAGACGTCCAGTGGTAAGCTGAGAAGGATAATATTCACCTGTATCTCTTGTGTACTGACGAATGGCTTCAACTTCATTGAAACCAACTTCCTGGAAGTGTCTTCATCCAAAACTTCAGTACCAGCAATAGGATACCCAAGAAGATATGACAAAATGTCGATCGAGATTGTGAGCAAATAATTGTACACCACAGTGGTGAAGGTGGGAGGATCAGCGTTGAAACATGGTTGCATGTTTGCATAGAACATGCGTACAGCTTCTGGACGAAAGCTGTAGCACTGATCCAGCGGAAGATTTGACCAGCCAACAGCATTGATCAACCCAGGAATGTTCATGTCATAGTAGCGATTGAAGCGGGCTGGATCAAGTGAGATAGAAGGACACAAGGGACGATCTTGAAACTTAATAAGATAGCGAGCATAGTCCTCTGCATTTCTGAAACCCTTTCCAGTAAAGATAGCTACCTGAGCCAGATGCAGAGGCACATGGGGATTGATTCCGGCCATACTGTCTTAAGAGGGTGCAGGATTCTTTTGAGAAAGAAAAGGAGAAATTCGATGAGAGTGCACTCAGATCTTACGAGAGTATAAATACTCCTGTAGAAGGATAGAGAGTTAAGGTAAGAAGAATACAAGGATTTGAAGTTATGGAAGGATGGAATCAAGATGAGAAAGAAAATATTTTCTGACCCTAAAGGTTGGGAGAAAGGAGGTAAGTCTTGGAGCTAAAGAATAGGAGGGGTCGACTTCACAGAAGGGTACTCACTTAAAGTCAGAATCACTTCAGATTCTCAAGTTCTGACCAGGAAAACATACCTAACTCACGACGATTCGAAAGAAACAGATCCGAGCCCAAGGGCTTTGTAAAGATATCAGCCCATTGATTGGAAGTGGGAACAAATTCCAAGGAAATGATACCTTCTTCAACCAACTCTCTAATGAAGTGGTATCTGATTTCTATGTGCTTGGTTCGTGAGTGCAAGATGGGATTCTTGGTCATGTTGATGGCACTAGTATTGTCACACAGAACAGGTAGAGTTTTTAAGTTAAGACCATAGTCTTGGAGTTGGTGCTTCATCCACAGAAGCTGGGTACAGCAGCTTCCAGCTGCAATATACTCTGCTTCTGCTGTGGACAACGCAACAGAATTTTGTTTCTTGCTAAACCAAGAAACCAGAGAGGATCCTAGGAAATGGCAAGTGCCAGAAGTGCTCTTCCTATCGATTGTACAACCAGCATAATCAGAATCTGAGTAGCTAATCAATTCTAAAGATGAGTTGCTGGGATACCACAGACCCAAGTCTGAGGTGCCACTGAGATAATGAAAGATCCTTTTTACTGCAGTTAAGTGACTCTCTTTGGGAGAGCTCTGGAATCGAGCACAAACACATACACTGAACATGATATCAGGGCGACTTGCAGTTAGATATAGCAGGGATCCTATCATCCCTCTGTAAAGTTTATCATTAATGGGAATACCAGATTCATCTTTATCTATTTTTACAGAGGAGGCCATAGGAGTGAGAGCAGATTTAAGATTTCCTAAGTCAAACCATTTGAGCATGTTTACCAGATATTTTGACTGATTGACAAAGATTCCATGAGAAGTCTGTTTAATTTGCAACCCTAGAAAATAGTTGAGTTCCCCCATTAAACTCATTTCAAAGGCATTCTTCATTTTTTACTCGAACTCTCTACACAGACTTGCACAGGTAGCCCCAAAGATGATATCATCAACATACACTTGAACCAGAAGGATATGATTGTTTAGTTGTTTAATAAACAGGGTTTTGTCCACCAGACCTCTCCTAAAACCATTTTCTAACAAAAAAGAACTAAGTTTCTCATACCAAGCCCTTGGGGCTTGTTTTAAACCATACAAAGCCTTTTTTTAGTTTATAAACATGATTAGGAAATCTATGATCTTCGAACCCTGGAGGTTGAGACACAAAAACTTCTTCTTTTAAATCCCCATTCAGAAAAGCACTCTTAACATCCATTTAATACAACTTAAAACCCTTTGAACTAGCAAAAGCACACAGCAATCGAATGGCTTCTAAACGAGCTATAGGGGCAAAAGTTTCTTCATAGTCTATCCCTTCCTCCTGGAAGTACCCTTGAGCAACTAATCTAGATTTATTCCTAACCACAGTTCCTACTTCATCAGATTTGTTTTTATATATCCACTTAGTACCTATTATTACTCGATTCTCAGGTTTAGGAACAAGTTCCCACACATTGGCACGCTCAAACTGATGCATTTCATCAAACATAGATGCAGTCCAGAACTCATCTTGAAGAGCTTCATGCACATTTTTTGGTTCAACTAAAGACACGTAGGCAACAGTAGATGGTAAGTTCTTTGATCGAGTAATCATACCTTGATTGATACTTCCTATGATTTGTTCAGGAGGATGACGTCTCACAATGTAAGCTGGTGGGTGGGCATCTTAATCAGCTACTTTGGTTCCTTCTTCTGATTGCATCTGGATGCCTTCCAGCTGATCAGTTGCTTCCTCTGGTTTTTGAACAGTCTTGACACCATCTTCTTTGGTTGCTGAATGCTGCCTTCCAAGTCCAAAATCGTCATAATCATAGCTATCTGTTCTTACAACAACAGATTCATCAAAAATAACATTGACAGACTCCTCAACCTTGAGGGTCCGTTTATTGAACACACGATAGGCCTTGCTAGTGTTTGAGTATCCTAAGAACACAGATTCATCAGATTTTGAGTCAAATTTTCCCAGGTGATCTTTTGTGTTCAATACAAAGCACTTACAACCGAAAGCATGAAAATAGCCTAGGTTAGGTTTTCTTCCCTTCCAGATTTCATAGGGAGTTTTGTTAACACCTGCTCTAATTAATGCTCGATTGACAGTGTAGCAGGCTGTGTTAATAGCCTCTGCCCAGAAAAACTTAGGAATACCATAGTCATTCAGCATAGTGCGTGCAATGTCTATAAGAGTTCTATTTTTCCTCTCCACAACACCATTCTATTGTGGTGTTCTCGGAGCAGAAAAATTATGAGAGATACCTAGATCATTGCAATACTGTTCAAATGAGTCAGAGCAGAATTCTCCTCCATGGTCACTTCGAATGCTACAGACCTTAGCTAATTTTTCATTCTCAATTCGTTTGACCAGAGTTCTAAAATTTTTAAAGGCTTCATCCTTCCTACTAAGAAACAATACCCAGGTGAACCTAGAGTAGTCATCAACTACAACGAAGGCATAAGACTTTCCACCATAACTGACTACATTTGTAGGTCCAAATAAGTCCAAATGAAGTAACTCTAGAGGCCTTGATGTAGAAATGACATATTTAGTTTTAGAGCTAGACCTGGTCTGTTTACCCTTGGCATAAGCATCACAGAAAAAATCCTTTTTCTCATTTAGTTTTGGAAGTCCTTTGACTAAATTTAGACGAGCTAGCTTAGACAGACCACTAACATTAACATGCCCCAGTCTTCTATGCCATTCTTCCTTATCACTTTTATCAAGACTAAACAAACAAGTCTCATTGAAACTGTCCTTGTCATTTAGATCAATAGTGTAGATTTTCCCATTTGTTTTACCAGTAAATACTACTTGTTTGTTCAGAATGTTCTCTACATAGCAGCAACTAGGTTCAAACACCACCCTGCAAGTCTTTCCACACATTTGACTGATAGACATAAGATTATGCTTCAGACCCTCAACTAACATAACATTTTTAATGCATGGATCAGTTCCCACTTGACCTTTACCAATGATATGAGCAGAGTTATTGTCTCCAAAATAGACCTTACCAAAATCTCTTAGACTGAGACTAGAAAACAGTTTCTTGTTACCTGCCATGTGATGGGAGCATCCGCTGTCCATAATCCATCTGGTATCCTATGTGCTCACTTGAAGACAACTCTGCAAACACAAACTTCATTTGGTTTTCCGAACCCAGATTTTCTTGGGTTTGTGTGATGCACTTGAACTAAACAGTTGATTATTCCATGGTTGCTTAAGTTTTCTTGACCAATCAGACCCTTCTTTTCTAGCTTCTGACCACAATCTCTTCCTGCACATTTTAATGATGTGTCCCTTCTTGTGACAGTAGTAGCATTCTACTTTCTTTAATTTTGCATCATGTCTGATTGTATAAGTCCCTGGTCTTTGTATCGTAATTTTGTTAGACTCTTTTCTACATTGCTCATGTTTATTCTCAGTTTCCATAATGCTAATTTTCTTCCTGAGTTCACTGACTACTGTTTTACTAATCTCTAGTTCATTCTCTAGTTCAACTATTCTTGTCTGATGCTCATGATTTTCTCTTTTCATTTTATTATATCTCATTTTGACATTTCCAAATTCTACTTGAATGTCTCTGATAGTATCAATTAGTAATTCATTGTCACTGAAATATTCTGACTCATGTATGGATTCAGTATCACTTACCTGTCTTGAGTTGCTGTTTTGCTCGAGTGATCATCCTCAACTTCACCAATCGCCATGAACAATCTTTGGACAATAACTTCATCGTCATCATCCATTTCATCTTCACTGCAACTCCAAGTAGCAGCCAGGGCTCTCTCTTTCTTGAGTTGTGGACACTCAGCCTTGATATGTCCTGCTCGGCCACATTTAAAACATCCTGTTGAGCTTATGCTTCTAATATTCTGACTAACATCAGCTCTGCCTTTTGAGAAGGACTTGAGTTGATTCCCTTTCACCCCGCTTTCATTTCTTTCAAGATCTTTGACCTTGCTTTTAGAATTCCCATACTTCTTTTCCCTTCGGATCTTAAGCAATCTGCTGACTTGCTTACTTAACAACGCCAATTCTTCGTCTTCCATATCGTCTAAATCTTCTGAGTCATCCAACGACGTGATAGCTTTGAAGGCAACTCCTCTTTTTCCTTTGTCATTGGTTTCCTTCTCTTGACTTACCTTGTTCAGTTTATCTTCATGAGCAACTAAGGATCCGATCAGCTCATCGACATATATTTTTTCCAAGTCTTTAGCTTCTTCAATGGCTGTGATCTTTGGTGTCCACTTGTCTGGCAAGCTCCACATAATCTTCCTCACAAGATCCCCACTTTCATACGACTTTCCTAGATTCTCAAGGCTATTCCCTATGTTGGTGAATCTCTCGTACATGATTCTGATTGATTCTCCTTCTTCCATTTTGAATAATTTGAACTGGTGCTTCAAGGAGTTTATCCATGAGGTTTTAACCTGTGAAGTTCCTTCATATGTCACTTGAAGCTTGTCCCAGATTTTTTTCGCAGTCTTGCACCCTGCCACCTTGTGGTATTCTTCTAGTCCAAGAGCACGATACATCAAATTCGTGGCTTTGCAATTCTGCTGAAATTTCTCGAAGTCTTCATCACTCCACTTCTCTTGATCTTCTTTGAGTTCGTGAGGTCCTTTAATAACTCTTGCCCAAAGTTTTTGGTCAGTCGAACCCACGAACAGCTCCATACGATTCTTCCAGTACCCGTAATTGACCCCTTCGAATCGTGGCGAGCGATTCTGTGAAAATCCATCTGCAAGATAAAGAGGAGCATTGCTCACTGATCCTGAAGCCATCTCTAGATTCTCCGGAGGATGTTAAGCCTTTATTAGCGGAGCCGGGCTCTGATACCACCTGTTGACGGCTTCGAGCGCGAGAAGCCTGCACTTGATGAAGAATTCACTCTTCTTCTCGACCTGAAAAACCTAAATCGACTTTGGCCAAGTACAGGTGAAAGGCAACAAAGAGTGGCAGTGAAAATATCAAAACAAAGAGATCAAGCAATATAATTTGGATCGAGCTATCTTTGTAACTGGGCTAGGAAGTGGTTACACTTGGCCATTTTCTAGAGTGACAGTAGGAGCGAGTCAATTTTTTGGCGTCGTTGCCAGGGATGGCTAGGTTGTTGAAGAAACGTGAATTCTATTAATTTAGCTTTTCGTTTTAGCTTTGTCTGCTTGTCACACTTGTGCCTTCACGGGTTTGCTTGCTTGACTGTGTGCAGGTAGTGCATGACCCGTAGACAATCGGGAGGTTTACTGCCGTTGGATCCGGAGCTTGAATGCACCTGTCGCCAACTCATGAGACAATAGCGAGCTAGACTGGCTATGGAGGAGCGCATAGACGGCCACTTGAGCAGCGATTCTGAGGTAGAGTACGAGATGAAAGGCGAACACAACCCACACCAGGGGAATCCTCTCCAGGTTCCCCCGGTGAATCAGATCTTGGGGAACAACCCCATACCCCAGGCAGATGGGGTTCATCATCATCCACCGCTGCCGGGTCCCACCTTGGAGTACTACTACACTCCACGGGTTGCTGATATCCGCCCTGTCATCCTCTACCCGCCCATTCCAGTGAACAACTTGGAGATCAAGCCATGCTGGATTCAACTCATTACATCATCTGTCCAGTTCCTGTTGACGGCTTCGAGCGCGAGAAGCCTGCACTTGATGAAGAATTCACTCTTCTTCTCGACCTGAAAAACCTAAATCGACTTTGGCCAAGTACAGGTGAAAGGCAACAAAGAGTGGCAGTGAAAATATCAAAACAAAGAGATCAAGCAATATAATTTGGATCGAGCTATCTTTGTAACTGGGCTAGAAGCCTCAAGCCCAATCAATTAATTCCTCTGATCCAAGAGTGATGAACAGCCGAGTTGCTCTACCCAAAACTGTGCGTTTCAGGACTGAACCTTCCCCTCCTTCCTCGTGTACCTTTTAGACCGATCCCCTTTTACAAATAAACACTCAACCAAGCAAACACTTAGTAGAAATAGAGTGAGCTTCCCCACACACTGTCAGAACGAAGGAAGAACAAGACATGGTCGGTTTTTACGTGGTTTCCAGAGCTGGGTCAATTGATTCCCAACTCTGACTACTCCACGGTCGGAAGATCACGATGATGTGATTTCCGACGATTCACTAAGCTTGTAGATTGTCTCTGTTATACAGATTTACAGCTCCGAAATCACTCAACCCAATCCAGGACTGATGATTGAATCAATCCACTCCCTGATACACTACTAGCAATCCTGCTACTGTGTTTCTATCAACACACCCCTAACCCAAGTTCTCTCCAGAAGTTGGATCAGCCTTGCTTTTCTTATCACACACACAAGCTATGATCTAAGCTCTCCCTGTATGAATTATCTCCAGAAAAGTATCAATCTTCTTGTTCTCTTCAGCCTTTTATTCACCAATCACAGTACCGTTACTCTTTCTTTCATTTTCTTCCTTGAATTGGTTTATGGCAAGAACTTGAAAACTTTCCTTCTTGTTATTTTCAGACCGTTCCTTGTTTCTTGTTCTGCACGAAACATGAGCTCGGTTCAGCCTCATTTGACAAGCTGCTTCCAACAGTTCCATGGCTTGAAGGATGAGGAGGCAAGGGTGCACCTGTCCCGTTTCCTGCAGCTGACGAACGGGTTCAAGCTGAACGGTATCCCTGATGATGCAATCCGCCTTCACCTCTTCTCCCATTCTCTGGCGGGGCATGCTAAGAGGTGGTTGGAGACCGAGCCCCCATTATCCATCACTTCTTGGGACGATCTGGACGACAAGTTCGTACACAGGTACTATCCGGCATCAAAGACCACAGAAATCCAGCTAGAGATCACTCTGGGGGCAGAGCAGCAGAGGCAGGAATTCCCGGGATCGTGGTGTGCACGCCATGGAGGCTAGGTCCGGGCTCGAGCAGCAGGTGGCTGAGTTAGTGCAGACATTGAAGCAGCCCAACAGTCTTATTCCGGGAAGAGGTTTGGCGGTACCTCCAGTAGCTCAATGTTAGTGGTGTGAGAGCTCGAACCATCTAGTGGAAGACTGCCAAGCTATGTGCAAGTCCTCTACTCCCCAAGAGCAGTTGGACTTCATCGCCAATGCTCGGCGCCTTGACCCATACAACAATACATACAATGAGGGGTGGCGCCAGCATCCCAACTTCGCTTGGAACAGTAACACCACTAAACCACCTGGTTTCCCAGCACCAGAGGGTGGTTTTCAGCAGAGGCAGCTTTTCCAGGCCATACAAGGGCCGCCCCCACAATAGCAGCCTTCCCAGCCTAGGCAGGGGCAGCCATTCCAGCAGCCCCGGCGTCAGTATGCCCCGCCTCCAGCAGTTGTAGCTCCAGATAATCAGGTGACGGAGCTGAAAAATATTTTGCAGGCATTCATGACCACCAGCCAGGCGAATTTCACGAGGATGGATCAGAACATAGCCTCACTGGAGGCAGGCCAGAGAAACCAAGGTGCCATTTTGCAAGATCTACAGAATCATATTGGTGGCATAGCTCGCCAAAACACTACTAGGGCACCGGGGACTCTGCCTGCCACCACTATTCCGAACCCTCGTGAGCCTCACCAGCACCAGCAGCTGGATGCCATCACTACCAGGAGCGGCAAGACCACATCGGTTGCTCCTGCCCAGCCCAGGCAGGACGAACCACTACCTGTTTCAACACTTCCAGCTGACAATGCAGAAGTGGGAGGGGGGGGGGGACAAGGAAGCACCTGCTCCTAAGCCACAGCCAGTGGTTAAGGAGCATGTACCCCAGCTTCCTTTCCCCACTCACCTACATAAAGACAAGCTGGAGACTGAGTTTGCCAAGTTCATGGCAATGTTGAAGCAGGTCAACATCAGTATGCCGTTCGTGGAGGCACTGTCGAAGATGCCCAAGTATGCCAAGTTCATGAAAGACCTCCTCACCAACAAGAAGAAACTTGGGGATCTTTCGACAGTGATGCTAAGCGAGGAGTGTTCTGCTATCCTGCAAAACAAGCTGCCCGAGAAGCGTAAACACCCAGGGAGCTTCACTATCCCTCTTGTTATTGGCAGCATGCATGTAGGAAAGTCCTTGGCGGACCTAGGCACTAGCATAAATGTCATGCCCTACAAATTATTTAAAAAGCTAGACCTATGTGAACCTAGAGCTACTAGGATGAGCATTTAGTTAGCTGATCGTTCCATCGTGCATCCTAGGGGTATCATTGAGGATCTGCTTGTTAATTAGGTGCATTCACATATCCTGTTGACTTTGTTATTCTGGATATAAATGAGGATGTGGATGTACCTTTGATTTTGGGTAGACTGTTTCTCACCACCGCCAAGGCGCTTATTGATGTGCATAGTGGTAAATTGATCCTGCGTGCTGGTGATGAATAGGCTACTTTTTTTGTGTCTAAGAATGGGAAACACTCCCATTTGCATGATGACGTAGATTACTATGATGTGCTTGCTGATTTTGAGACCGCACTCGCTATAACAAGTGCGGGTATTGACGATGCTCTTGAGCGTTGTATTTTGCTAGGTAAGCAGGCATCGTAGGAGCCGCAGCTGGAGGAGCAGTTGGCCGCGCTGGAGAGTGGCCCATTCCTGGAGGGCGACAGGCTGTTCAAATCGATCTCATCCTCACCTCGCATCACTACCTCCTCGGAGGAACCACCAGAGCTGGAGCTAAAGCCCCTCCCTCCTCATTTGGAGTATGCATTTCTCCGGGAGGGGAATAAGCTTCCAGTCATCATCAGCTCAACCCTCACACCCGAGCATAAGGACAGACTAGTGGCCTTGCTGAAGCTGCACGAGCGTGCTCTAGCGTGGAAGATCACATAAATCCGGGGGATCAGCCCCTCCTTTTTCTCCCACCGGATACTGCTGAGGGATGAGATGCGGCCAGTGATACAGCCGTAGAGAAGACTGACACCGAACCTGGAGGTTGTGGTTCGGGCAGAGATCGTGAAGCTGATGGACGCGAGGATCATCTTCGCCATTTCCGACAGGTGGTACCCAAAAAGGGTGGGATGACCGTGGTGCCTAATGAGAAGAATGAGCTCATCCCGATGCGCACGGTGACTGGGTACCGTGTCTGCATTGATTATCGGCATCTCAAAGATGCCACTCGGAAGGACCACTTCCCTCTGCCGTTCATTGACCAGATGCTGGAGAGACTGGCGGGGCACGAGTTCTACTGTTTCCTGGATGGGATGTACGGGTACTTCCAGATCCCCATTGCACTGGAGGACCAGGCGAAGACCACTTTCGCCTGTCCCTTCGGCACATTTGCCTACCGGAGGATCCCATTCGGGCTATGTAATGCCCCCGCCACTTTTCAGCGATGCATGCTTGCCATCTTTGACCGTCTGGTCGGCGAGATTGTGGAGGTGTTTATGGACGACTTCTCGGTTTATGGAGACTCATTCTCTTACTATCTCCATAACCTGGAACTCGTACTCAAACGGTGTGAAGAAACGAACCTGGCACTGAGTTGGGAGAAGTGCCACTTCATGGTTCGCGAAGGCATAGTTCTGGGGCAGAAGATCTCCAAGATGGGGATTAAGGTGGACAGAGCAAAGATCGAGACTATCAGCAAGCTGCCTCCTCCTACATCTGTTAAGGGGATCCAGAGTTTTTTAGGCCATGCAGGGTTCTACATGTAGTTCATCAAGGATTTTTCGAAGATCGCCCTGCCCCTGACTAAGCTTCTTGAGAAGGATGCCCCCTTCCAGTTCACTGATGCATGCACAACGACATTCACGACCTTGAAGGAGAAGCTCACCCAAGCTCCTATCATGGTTGTTCCTGACTGGTCCCTACCATTTGAACTGATGTGCAATGCCAGTGACTTTGCTCTTAGAGCTGTCTTGGGGCAGAGGTGAGATCAACACTTCCGACCTATCTACTACGCCTCGAAGACCCTAAATGATGCCCAGGAGAACTACACCACCACGAAGAAGGAGCTGCTCGCGGTGGTGTTTGGCTTCGACAAATTTTGTCCTTATCTAGTCTTGTCCCATGTGACCGTGTATACAGATCACTCCGCGATTCGATACCTGATGAGCAAGGCCGATGCCAAGCCTAGGCTAATACGATGGATCTTACTATTGCAGGAGTTCGACATCGAGATTCGGGACAAGAAGGGAGCTGAGAATGTTGCAGCCGATCACCTCTCCCGGTTGGACGCACCTCTTGCGGACAACCTCGAGGAGGAGATCAACGAATCATTCCCGGATGAGAGACTGATGATGATGTACCTGGTGGAGAGTGTCACCCCTTGGTACTCCGATTTTGAAAACTATCTTGTGGGCCAGCAGCTGCCCAAGGGGATGACAACTCACACCAAGAGGAAATTCTTCTCTGACTTGAAGCATTACTTCTGGGATGACCCTCATCTCTTCAGGATCGGAGCCGACGGGATCATCTGTCGCTGTGTTATGGAGAGTGAGATGGAGGGAATTCTATCTCACTGTCATCAAGGACCTACTGGTGGTCACCACGGAGGAAATCGCACGGCGAGGAAGGTGCTACAATCGGGCTTTTACTGGCCCACGCTCTTCAAGGACGCATACGCCTTCACACGCAGGTGCGACCGATGCCAGAGGTCAGGTAACATCTCTGCCCATGATGAGATGCCCCAGAATGTGTTTATAACCTGTGAGATTTTTGATGTCTGGGGTAACGACTTCATGGGCCCCTTCCCTCCATCTTTTGGTAATACCTATATCCTGGTTGTTGTTGACTACGTCTCTAGGTGGGCCGAGGCGCAAGCTTTGCCCACTAATGATGCTAGACGTGTTTGTGGTTTTCTGAAGTAGCTATTCTCCTGGTTTGGGACACCTAGAGCCATCATAAGCGATCGAGGCACCCATTTCCAAGGCCAGTTTGATAAGTTACTGTCTCGCTATGGTGTGACTCATAAGGTGTTAGTGGCCTACGATCCTCAAACAAGAGGCCAGGCCGAGCTGACGAACCAGGAGCTCAAGCGTATCCTGGAAAAGACGGTGGATCAGTCTCGCAAGGATTGGTCCACCAAGCTCGATGATGCTCTCTGGGCATACCTCACTGCCTACAAGACACCCATTGGCACTTCACCGTACCGGCTTGTCCATGGAAAGGCATGTCCTTTGACCGTGGAGCTAGAGCACAAGGACTTTTGGGCCCTTAAGCTGCTCAACTTGGATGTTAGTGTTGCAGGTATTGAGCGCAAAATGCAAATGCTGGAGCTGGAGGAATGGTGTTATCACGCCTATGAGAACACCAAGTTGTACAAGGAGCGCACTAAGCGCCTGCACGATGCACAGTTGCGGGGTCCGAAAGAGTTCCAGGTTGGTGATCGAGTTCTCCTCTATAACTCTCGCCTAAAGCTCTTTCCCGGAAAACTCCGTTATCGGTGGTCTGGACCGTTCACGGTCACACAGGTGTTATCACGCCTATGAGAACACCAAGCTGTACAAGGAGCGCACTAAGCGCCTGCACGATGCACGGTTGCGGGGTCCGAAAGAGTTCCAGGTTGGTGATCGAGTTCTCCTCTATAACTCTCGCCTAAAGCTCTTTCCCGGAAAACTCCGTTATCGGTGGTCCGGACCGTTCACGGTCACACAGGTGTTCCCGTATGGCACGATTGAGATTGCCAACCCGCAAATTGAGCCGTTTAAAGTGAATGACCATCGTCTCAAGCTCTACCTAGGAGACGAGGTCGAACGTGCGGAGTTGGTAGTGGAACTGGCGGTCCTTTAGTTCCGCCATGGGCGTCCAGCTAAAAGACGGTAAAGAAGTGCTTGTGGGGAGGAAACCCCACCACGGTTTGCATTTCTTTTTCCCTTTTTCTGTGTTTTTGTGTCGTGTTGAGTCAGTTGCATGTCTATGTTGAAGTTCAGTCGTGGTTATGTCTCGGTTTGGTGTTTTCGTGCAGGAGACGTTGAAAATTTGGGAGAATGAGAATTTTGGCCAGAAGGGTAAAATACCCGGTCGTGAGCCAAAATACCCGACCGGGTATTTTTGGCTCGTGACCGGGACCCCTTCTGCCTTCCGCGACGCCCAAAGGGCAAATCCCCGACCTTGACCCAAAAATACCCGACCAGGTATTTTTGGCTCAAGGCCGGGGATTTCCCAGCCTTGGAACCCGGCGTTTCAGAAACCCCCGACCTTGACC